CCCCAAAAAGGATTCCGCCGAGGAGCTGCTGAAGCAGCACCCACTGGGGAGCACGGACGACGAAGGCGACCCCTTCTGGACAGGGGTCCGCCGTCCCCCGTCCCCTCTCAAGCTGGACTCGGCCAACCTCCTCCACCGGGAGTTCGTGTGGTGGGCCTCGGTGCTCCGGGCGGGTGTCTACGGCGTGGAGGTGCCTAGGTTTGTGTGAACCCATTTTTTTGCGTGTTGGCCTGGGGCCATTATAGGAAGGCGCCCGAGCCAGTTGGACCAGTACGGATGTTGGAAGGTACAAGGTAGAGACCACGGACATTGGAAGGTACTGAGTTGTAGAGACCGGATATATGTCCTGAGCAGAGATTGGATTTCTTTTTTTCATGTGAAGACAACAACAATAACTGTATATCACGCCGGGTCACTGGTGTGTACAGAGGCGCAGCTGCAGCGCCGTTGTTCGTCGGGCTTGAGTAGGATAGACAGTAACGGGCTGGCTCGCTCTGTGGCGGTGCTTGCCCGCAGAGGCTACCGTTACGATACCGGGAAACCTGGGTCTCTGTCCGTTATTCAGAGAACGAGACAGTTGAAAATATTCCATACCACGTGTCGCGCGATTGCGATGGGCACTATGCACGTACCCTATTCAACCGGCACCTCTGTCAGCCTCCTATCGCTGTGGCACAACTGGTGCTTCACGACCAGTGACAAGGAATGAAACGGGCGGTTAGCCTGAAACGGAATGCCTTTTGAGCGTCGTCGACCAGGCCGCCGGGTGTCTTGTTTTCTTCACTATTTTCCATGTTATGCAGTCAGGCGGAGTGGTAGTGAAATATTTAGTATTATAGTTGGCCCTCGCGTTTTGTTCAAAAGTTAGTCGTCAAGTTGGGCGCTTTGCCTGAAGAGAAGCTACGGGAGGGGGAAGTTTCGCAACAATGCCGGATTGCCGAAAGCCCCTCGCAGGCGAAGGAATATTTGAAGCAGGATTTACCTCGGTATCATCCAACAACTTGCTCCTTTCCATCGCGTGTGTGTGTCCCTCTCCGTTGTGCTTTCTCTTAAATCCAGATCCGTGCGTGATCTCCAAGCCCCGGTGGCAGCTACAGCGGGTGGCGGCGGCGGCGGTCGGGGGCACCGCCAGGGAGAAACCGGAGGTTTGGGGGGGAGGTCCACGGCAAACAAGGAGGAGGGAGGCGGAAGACGACGACTGCGACAGCTTTCGCAAAGAGAAGGACGCCGGCGTCGGCCCTTGGCCAAGGCGACCGAGTCAGACCCTGACGAGACCATCGAGCCCCTCATACGCTCGGAGCTGGCGGAACTTAGGGAGGTAGCTGCGAGGTGGCAGGGCTCCGGCGGGGGCGAGGGGGCACGCCGTCCCCTGCAACCAGCGGAATTTGAGAAGGTGGGGGGATTATTGCCGGGGGAAGGACGATATTCTCACGGAGGCGTGAACCCAAATCATAAAATTATTCTCAGATTCAACGAATAGGGCGACATGAGATACCACATGCGCAAGCTGATACCCGGTGGCGATTTTATTTTTACCCAAAATGTAAGACATCGCGGGGGGGGGGCGTACTCTTATGTGTTGCATGTCTTAGCGGTTAGACCATTGACCACGCGTCCTCGAGAGGACGGAGCATTGTTCCCACAGGGCCGATCACCGATGGCCAATCGTTCCTTTCTACTTTGCCAAAGGTGGCTCAAAAATGTCTTCCCTAGTCTGTCTATCCTAACGATATCCCTTCCCGCCTTTTCAACCCACCTCCTATGCCCCACTACAGCTACCGTCCTTTCCTCTCTATTCCATGCCTCAAACATCTCCCTGTACGTTC